ATCATTATCTGAAAATGTTACCAGCGGACTCGTGTGTGTAGTTCTAAAGGAAAATAGAAATGTCATTAATTCTCTAGGTTTCATTATTTTTGTCAGATTTTGTGCTTAACTAATCTTTTTGTCTGCCAAACTATTACATAAATTGATCCTCTTCTAAGAATTTCACATGCAAACAAAGGGGTTAAATAGACTAATATAACACCCTTAATAGCTAGATCAACTGTAGTTGCATTCGTCAGCTTGGATGGACTCTGACATCTGTTAATCGGGGTAAAGTAACTGAGCTCATGACCTATGACTAAGGTCGGTAGTATGGTTAGAGAGATTGAGCGACCTATGAAGGAGGTCGGCAACACAACTAGTGGAATTAACCGACCTTGAGAGAGGTTGAATACGAGAGTCAGTGAGACTGGATGACCTATAAAAATTAGAAAAGAGTGTAAGATCGTGTGGGAGATCTTGTGTTGTATTTCATTGGGAAACTAGATATTTTCGGCTCTCTTTCTATCAAAGAAGGCAAACTACAATGTAAATGAAGGGTGCAATATAATTTCTAGAATACTATGAGATTACCTTAGAGTTTTTTCGTTAGGAACCCTCGCGACATATTTTGCAGGTGAACGAATGAGTTACGACGGTGGTCTACATCAACGATTTATTTCCAGCCCAAGAAGAGGCACATCACAGAAACACAAGATACCGCAAAAACACTAACAAAGACAAAAACTAAAACTCGCCACAAGACTATAAATTTCAACATGAGTCTATCCACAACAAAAGTACAACAAAGCAACTACACAAAACAATCAATAAAATCTATATCTATATCTATACTTATATTAAACGGAGTCCTATTTACCAAATTTAGTAGTTAGAAAAGTCAACAGCATTTATTGCCATTAATATTTTCGTATATACCGTTTTTATTTAATATTTATTTTTCTGTTACGATTTTTAAAAACAGCTATGGTCAAATTTCATCATTAATTACTTTCCATGAATTACAATTTATTTATTTATTATTTTCTTAGCAAAAACGGACCAACATTAATTGATTTCCTTAAAATGTGGAAGTTGTTGCTTTATTTTTGTACAGAAAATCGGGCTTCATTATAGAAATTTGTTCAATTACACAATGAATTTTCTATGATATAATTATTTTTTATAGGAACTTTTTTTTTAACAGAAAAATATGGCATTTCAATAAGATTTTCGATATTTTAAGACTGATCGTTATCATGCCATGAAATTGAACATTCCAATATACCTTAACAAAATATACACGTGGTGTATACATCAGTTAATAGAAACATAGAATCCTCATATTTTTATATATATGTATGTAAATTTTCTATTACCAAATTTAATTGGCAGTTGTTGTGTTATGAGTTTTTTTCATAATTGTTACTTGGTTGTTGTGATATTTAGTTTGGTTGGTGTTGAAAAAATTCTAATCTATATATATAATAAGAATAATCATTACAATGCAAATTTGAAAAATATTGATATTAGAAGAGATTGAGTTCATGGCTTTTCTTAGATCAAAGTAGTTTAATTAGTATACAAATATAAATTCTAAGAAAATATATGTGTATATTTTGTACATTATTTATACACTATTTAAATTTAAATTTATTTACATATTTTAAATTGATTACTTATATAAATAATACCAACGTGCATTAAATATATTTCATTACACAAAATAAAAAGAACAAGAAAAGACGTGTAACTTGTATAACTTTATAAATAATAATGACATTATATGGCAACAGAGTTTAATAATTAACTATTATATAGTGAATAAGAATAAGTAAAATTGTTATTTTTTCTTATATCAAAAAATAAATATATATAATAAAATTTAAATTTATATTAGTATAAATGTGTTAGTGAGATAATATATTAATTATTTTACAAATTAGCCCTAACATGCTCACGTTTAATGTTCTGACTAATAAAACAACGCTGATTAAAAGATATGAAAAATAGATTACAACCCTATTTTTTTAGACTTAACGGTGATTAAAAGAGGTGGAAAATAGATGATAACTCTTTTCAAACTTAACGAGACTTAACGGTGATTAAAATATGTGGAAGATAGATAATAACCCTTCTCAGACTTAAACGGACAGAGCCTGTGAAAATAATTCATTTAATATCTCTCTCCCGTGCATTGCACGGGCTACGTACTAGTATATTGAAAAAGGTTGATGGTAAATTCATTTTTGGAAAGCTAAAATAAATGAGTCAAATGTTTGACTTACTAATTGTGGAACATATTTAAAAATCTGGATTTTTGTTTGGTTTGTTAGATTTTTTCTTTTTATTTTATTTTATTTTTTTTAGGATAATTACACAGATTGAATGCATAATTTACGGAATGAAAATCTCTTTAGAATAGAATCTGTTCACGGAATTTATGGAATCTCTTTAGCCTAGAATGCAGTTGGAGCAAAAATTATCATATTGCAATTAATATTTACGTACATTTTAGTAAAAATTTCAAGTAATCTTTCTAATATATAGATATGGCAATTAATATTTCCGTACAAAAATGAATGATTCATAAAAATTTACTACAATTGGTTATAGTTACTCCAAAAATTGAATCCTATTTTTTTTGTAATAAATTTAGAAATTCTTATGTAAAAAAATGTGTTAATTATTTATGAAAACAAATCCAAATATAAATTAATTAAAAAAATCGTGTAAATTTTGTTTTAAAACAATATTGAAATTTGGACGGAATATACATTAAAAAATGTATCCACTTTTTGGTAACAAAATTGTTTTATCTTTGACATTTAAAATCAAACTTTATCCAATTATTTAGGAAAGAAATTCAAATATCGTGTGGAACTTTCAAAATTTGAATGCACCTATTTTTTAGATTCTTATGTTTTTTCTTAACCATGTTTTACCAAGATTTTGGTAAGTTCATATCAATTTTTTTGTTAAGTTCGTATCAATTTTTTTAGGAAAGAAATAGTTGCATAAATCTTAACAAAATATTTTAATCTTTTATTAGAATTAATTTCAATTGGTTTGTAAAAAAATTCGCTTCAATGTTACGAAAATTTGGTTGCACTTTTAGGAAAAATTGATGATTCTTTTTACTTGTTTTAACCAGACATTCGGATCAATTTGTTTGGTAAAAAATTGATGTATTGGTAGAAAAATTCAGTTTCATTTTTAGGAAAAACTAATGATTCTTTTCAATTTTACTTAATCAAAATTTTGAATTAGAATTAAAAGAAATTGCGTAGAAAACCCTAAAAATCTCTACTTTCTTTCTACTAGAATTTTGATTAATAAATAAGATCCTTTAATTTTTTTAGAAAAAATATAATTTGTTAATTAATAACTAATAATACATAATTTTAGATAAAATTCGAACTCCCATGTAGTATTTATTTTTCAAAGAATCAAACTAAGAATGTTGTACATATGAAGGTAAACATGGCCAAAACCCGACCACCGGGCCTCCGGGTTGGGTTTCATGGACCCTGAACTGGCATGGACCTATGCTCGTGCCGGGTCCATGATCCGGTTAATCGGGCCGGTCCGGGTCCGAGTCAGGGCCGGGTCATCATTTTCTATAGAAAAAAGTATAGAATAATATAAAAATATATATATTAAAAAAAACGGGTCAACGGATTTGACCGGGTCTGGTCCGGGCCGGGCAGCCTGTGGCCATGTCTATATGAAGGTGTTCAATGATATATAAATTTTATTTCATGATATTTTTAATGTAATGAGATAAATTTAAATACAAAAATACATTCTAAAAATAAAGTAATTAATAAATGCTCTCGTGCATTGCGCGAGTACTGTACTAGTAAAAAAGAAAAAGCAGNAAATATCTTTCTCTTTAACCGCTAACAGTCACCACATACAAGCATAAACCAGTAGCACTACCGTGTGCCCTGGCACACCTAGCTAGGTGTGCCAGGACAAATTTGCACGCGCCCCCTCACCCCAAAAAACTAGAAAATTTGGAGAGTGTAGTGCACATTCCCATTTTTTTCTTTTTTAATTGAAAAATGAGACATATTACATAAATTAAAATATCATTAATTATTTATATTAAAAAATAAAATAAAAATACCAAAATTCATAATTTTTCATTATCTATAAATAGAGACCACATTTGATAGGTTTTTGAACACAACTAATTTTTCGTTTTTTCGTAATTATTTTATTATACTGACATATAATGAACATGTTACATAACAAGATGAATATGTTTTCAAATAAGATGAATATGTTCCAGATTGCAGATTGAAATAATACATATTCATCTTATTTTATAATATGTTCATCTCATTTTGGTAACATATTCATCTTATTTTATAACATGTTCGCCTTATTGTGTATGTAACATGTTCATCTTATTCTATAACATGTTCATTTTATTATGTAACATGTTTGCCTTATTCTATAACATGTTCATTTTATTATGTAACATGTTCACCTTATTGTGTATGTAACATGTTCATCTTATTCTATATGTAACATGTTCATCTTATTCTATAACATGTTCATTTTATTATGTAATATGTTCATCTTATTCTATAACATGTTCATTTTATTATGTAACATGTTCATCTTATTTTAGAACATGTTCATCTAAATTTCATCTGTGAAAATGTAACATTTTCATCTTATTCTATGACATGTTCATCTTGCTCTATAACATGTTCATCTTACTATGTAACATATTCATCTAATTATAGATTTGCGTCATAATCTTCCAATAAGATAAATTAATTGTAAAAAATGATAAATTAATTGTGTTCCAAAAAATATCAAATGTGGTATCTATTTGTAGAGAATGAAAAATTATGAATTTTGGTATTTTTATTTTTATTTTTTGATACAAAATATGAATGATAATTTAATTTATATAATATGATATATGAAATTCATTACCCAATAGAAATGGGACACATGTCCTATTTTTTTAAAAAAAATATTCTACCTCCTTACCTCACGCGCTTTTGAAGGAGCTGTATTTCACGAAAGGCCCTGGCACACCTAAGTATTTGCCAGCATAAACCACCAAAGCCATCATCAGTCTTAAGCACGAGCAAGCCACTCAATCCTAAAGCAGAAAAAGATCCATAGATCACCCACTGTCACACTTGAACACTTCACCCACATCCCAAGTCGGCTAATCAGATCTAATAAAGGGTCAGAACCTCAGCCAGGCCAAAGTAAACAATTGAAGAAAGGGGGGAGACCAACAATAGCAAATCATCAATCTCAACCAATAGGCTGGTCCCATCCTAAAGCTGGACTGGTTGGGAGGTGGACAGAAAGACAAGAAGAGAGGAGAAGGCTTTTGCTTTTACTCTGGGAGGATAGAGAGAAGGAAAAACAAAGTGGCTAGAGAGAGACTGTAGATTTATTCCTTCCATATCTAACTAATCCACATTGCAAAAGCTTCAAACATTTTGGAATAATTGTTATGGACGACTGAGAATGCAATTGTTATTTTATCTAACACCTTACATGTCAAACTTTTAGTAAATCTAACTTCTATGTTTCTGACTAATCCCATAATATCAGCCACCACCATATTCTCTTCAAACCTTACTTCATATCTCAGACCATAAGCTCCATTAAGGAACAATGCCGTCCTCTAGTCTCCAACACATCTAAAGGAAATATACAAAAGAAAACAACTTCAACACCCTCACAAATCCGAAGAAATGTTTTCGACTGCACAGACAGTGCTGGGCGTGAGATCACCAACCTAAGGCGAATTGCACAGCATGCTTCCTCAAATTCGAATATTTATATGCTTCTAAGCAAAAATGAAATACAAAAATTTATCGAGATTAAAATAATGGTATGACTATATATTACAAATAGATTATAAGTAATGCAATACATATTACACATTATTATAAGCAACAAACTTGCATGTTTCCCGTGTGTATAGCGACCCATAAAACAATTGGAGAATAAAGTGATTGCTGCATGAGATTGATGCCAAGCCAAGCGTCTAGACACGGGATTAAAATCATATTTGTCATGCGTACTTCAAGAAGTGCATGTGTTATTTCAATTTGGGTAATTGGAACAATACAGATGACAGATTGTGTGCGGCATGGTAGAAAGGTATGATAGATATCACTATTTTGATATCGTGCTCATGTGATCCATTCTTCCTCAAATGCTAAGCATGCATATGGGATTTTCAAGAACACTGAACGATTAATGGTGCTTTCCTGTCGACGTGATTCGTTGTAAGTAGCATAGGAAACTCACATAAGATGAATTCGTTCACAATCTCGCCAAGACGTCAATTGAAGAAGATAAATGAACAAACCATATTACCTTTCCATATAATGCAACAAAAATCATTTTCAGTAATCTCCATAATTAACACATCGCATGTAAATTAAAATTGTCATAAGAAGATAACCAAAGTGAACTCAAGTTTGCCAATCAAATTCTTATTCAAGAAACAAGGAAATGCAAAATCATAACATTAGTCATCTAGCATTAGCAATGAA